TGAGATTGGTGTAATCAACGCACATTCACCATTCTTTATTCTTTTTTCTTACAAGAATCGGGTTGGCTAACCACTCCGGATGATACACCTCTTTGATAAAATCAGCAGCTAAGATCCGAGTTATTTCCACCCTAATGGACTCCTTTTTGTCCTGCACGAATCATTGAAGCTTCTGCTTGATCAGCTTGGTGATCGCCGAGACATTTAAGGAGTGCTCGATCAGCTCTTGAGGCACGCCGGGCATGTCCGCTAGTTTCCATGCGAACACATCAACATGCTCCCTTAGGAAGCTGACAAGCGTGTCTTCCTATTTGGGATCGAGGTCGACCCCGATCCGAGTAGTCTTAGACTGGTCGCCGGGGATGAGGACCACTTCCTTCACCTCCTTGGACTTGGTTGATGCTCGAGCGGCCTCCATGGTTGGGATCTCTAGGTCCTATGGGGAGATCTACTACGAAGACACGAGGCAGTCCTGCATGCGGATGGAGATGTTAGTAGCCTCGGCAAGCACAAAGCTTTCCTTCTCGTAGGAGTAGGTGATGTCGAGGTTGGCACGCAGGGAGAGGACCCCTGCTTCGTTGGCATCTTCAACACCAGGTACGTGTTGTGCGGCACGGCCATAAACTTGGTGAGGGTTGGTCGGCCAAGGATGGCATGGTACGTCGTGTTGAAGTCGGCAACCAGGAAGTTGATGTAGTTGACATGAAAGTGCTTGGCGGTGCCGAATTGTACCAGCAGTGTAATCTATCCTAGAGGTAGGGAGGCTTTTCTGGGAATGATCCCCTAGAATAGAGAGCCCATGGGGTAAGGTCTTCTTTCTTGATCCCAAGATCCTCTAGGGACCCAACGAATAGGATGTTGAGGGTGCTTCCTCCGTCGATGAGGACCTCTAGAAGCGCATGTCCTTGATGATGGGATCCAGGATGAGTGGAAAATGCCCTAGGTATGGGACATCCAACCACTAGTCGGCCTTGGAGAAGGTGATCAGGTGCTCCAACCTAGTCGAGGTACTTGGGATCAACGATGGGTCCATCATATGTAGCGACCGACATGACACATCGAGCTACTAGCTTCTGCTCCCGCTTGTCTTTAGAGATAGCTTTCCCACCAAAGATGGTGGCGACGGTCTTGGTGGGGTCTTGGTATGTTGGGCCCTTGTTCTTGCCTCGTTCTCCGCCTTGACCGTCCTTGGTCTCATCATCGTTGCGCCGTGGCTTCTTTGATGATTCGCCACCGAGCGCTATTTTTAGGCCTTTGCACTCTCGCATGGTGTGCTTGGCATCCTTATGGATAGGGCATGGGCTATCTAGCAGCTTGCCAAAATCAGCGTCGTAGGTGCGCTTGGCACGAGCGTTGATGGTGTTGATGGAGTTATCAGGCCGGCGACGGCGGCCTTGTCTGCCTCTCGAGCTATCCGGCGATCGTCACGCTAGGGCTCACGGTCATCTTGGCGGCGGTCACGGTCATTGAGGCGGTCTTGGTCCTCACGGCGGTGGTCACGGTCGTCGTAGCGCCTGTCTTCACGACGATCATCATCGCGGCATTGGTGGTGAGTGGAGTAGGCAACCCATTCGGCTTCTTTGGCATTGGCATATCCGTTTCCTTTTTGTATCAATTCATCGATGGTTGTGGGCCTCTTACGGTATAGCTTGCCACGGAGTTGCTCGTGCTAGAGCCCCTTGGTGAAAGCGGCGATGGCCTCAACATCAGGGATGTTGGGAACGGAATTTCTTATCTCCGAGAAGAAGCACCGATGAAGTCACGCAGGGACTCCCGGGAGGATTGATGAAGCTTCTCCAAGTCATACTTTGTGTTGGGCTGCTCGGACATAGCCATGTAATTGTCGGTGAAGACTTTCTTGAGGTCATCCCAAGATTGGATGGAATCCCTCGCAGGCTGAGGAGCTAGTTGTTCGTAGACTGGTTAAGCATGATGGGTAGATAGTTTGTCATGACGTCTTTGTCTCTCCGCCTGCGGCTCTTACGGCGATCTTGTATAGAGTTAGCCACTGAGCGGGGTTGGCCTTTCCGTCATAGGTGTTAACACCAAGAACCTTGAAACCCACAGGCCACCGGATGGCTTGAAGCCTTTTCATGAAGGTGCGAAGTCTTGATGCGCCGGTGGGAAGTGGCGCTTGATGGGCAGCAAATCCCTCATGTTTGGCGTCGAATTGCCAGCGACGCTCCATCTCTACTTTGTAGCATGCGGACCTGCTATTTTTTATGCGGCCACGGACATCTGCGCCAGCATTGATGTGGTCACAAAGGTCGCGAAGGGGTTGATTGACCTCCTGGTTGCGGTTGCCACCCCGACCTCCCTAGGGGCGCGGTGGGCGGCCATCATGGCGTGAATGAGCTTCATAGTTGCCTCTAGATCCTCTATAGAGGTAGGGACCTCCAGCCTGAGGTTAGGGGATGATGCTGGCCTCCTCCATCACGATAGGAGCGGCGGCTATGAGCTGATGCGGTGGAATAAGATGGGGTGTCGTTCTAGAATTTGTTGACTTGGACTTGCGCTGTTATGATATGTTCTTGGACCTTCTCGACCTATGGAGTGTGAGGGAGTTTGTCGAGCTTGTTGAAAGCGACGGCTAGATTGGCGCTTGGAGTCTAGTAGACTGAATGGTCGCCCACCATGTCAAACGCCTCCTCCAGATTACGTTGATGGCGAGGTGGGTCGCGACCATCTTTGTCGGCCACTTGGGTTGCTTCTGCATCTCGGCGACGTTGGCGATCGGCGTTCTTCGCTAGACCAGCTTCGCGCTCTTCAGCGATTTCATCGTCCTTGGTGACGCTATCGTGGCTGACGTGGAAGATCATGCCCCCGAACCCCAAGGGGAAGCAGGGCAGCTCAATGCGGTCTTGTTGAGCCCTCGGAATAATAGTCCGGAATCTCATTCAGAACGTTATGGAGAGATTTGGTTGGAAGAGAGGGTTCATCCAAAAGCTGGCGAATAGCCACCATGTTGACATGGGCGTGGGCTAACCGGAGTCAGTCGGGTCGATGATGTAGAGGTCGGTGATGTGGTCGCACTCGACGTGGTCAACAAAGAGGTGGTGGATGGCGTTCTAGTACGCAGATCCGCACCCTCTAGCCCAAAGGGATAGGGCTTCGACGGGTCCTCCATCGGGGCCTCGTAGTCGGTCAAACATAGGCCGGTAGCGGGAAGTGGTCGGCGACGCACCGTGCGCCCCTCTGGGTAGCCACGATCACAGATCGGAATCTGGCCGCCTTGAACGATGTGGCCGAGTAGGTCACTCGGTTGAAGCGGCTTGGTGATCTTGGAGTATGGGAAACTCGTCGCTCGCTCTAGATTGATCTGAGACCGAATCCACGAGGAGTTGACATTCCGCTAAGCGTTCTATGACCCGATCGATGGATCCGATCAGATCATCATTGCTGATGGATCTCCTAACCCAGCGGCGGGGCACTAGGATAGGAGATGTCATTGCAGGTGTTGGCGTGATTGGTGCAGGGTGATCCTGCACCGTCTCCACGATCTCCCCGTTGCCGTCGGGGCCAATGACCTAGGCCATGGATCCGACCGTGAAGATCTAGCCCGACTCGGGAAAGGCCATGGAGCTCGGGAAAGTGACCATCTGGTACGCCATGAATTCAGCACGCACACCCCCTACCTGGCGCGCCACTGTCGACGAAATACATCCGGCAGTCTACCGAAGGGTATGCCCACGGTAGTAGATGAATCGATGGAGGTGCACGTGAGGGGGCCGGATGGTGACATAGAACGCGAGAGACAACGATTAGATAGGTTCGGGTCGTCAGCTTGACGTAATACCCTACATCCTATGTCTTTGTGAATTGTATTGCATATGATCAGATGAAAACAGGGGGGTCCCTACCCGCTTTATATAGCTAGGGGTAGGATTACAGATCGATTGTTTCTATCATGATTGGTTTAACAAGATATGAAGTTACAAATATTACGGGATCTAGCATATCCGAGTAGGTTTCCTAGATCATCAAAGATCTTCACGCAGTCTCGCGAGGCACGCCGACCTGTGTCGTGCCTTGCAAGGTGTCATCTCGTAGGCTGGGCCTCCACCGGTAGCATGGCCCATGCGCAGTCTTGTGGGCTAGGCCTTCCCTAGCGGATCGGCCCATGTACAGCCCTGCTGGTATCGGGGGTTATACCCTCACAACCATCTAACAATTGCACATGTTGTCTCACTTGTCACCATCAAATTGAGATTCTTATTACCATTGTCATTATGTGTTATCTAATGTCAACTGCTTTTTAGGAAAGTTTGTCTTGTCAACTCAGGGATCGATACTAACCGACCAGGTTATCTTGCACCATGCAAGGGGGTGAAGTATCATTTTCTAGAGTATTTACGAGGCCAGAACCAAGTGAGAAAAAAGGAGGTATTCGGTTATGCACATTCATCTCTTCACGATGATATCAAGCGCTCTTGTTTTAGAGTTTTAAAGATGATGTGGAGGATTTTATTGAACCTACCTAGTCACCCAATGCAGAGCAAAGCAAGATAATACTTGCATGCATGGACGTCCATAGTTTTATGAGAGAAAGTGCAATGAAAGATGCATACTTTGACATATGTGATCTTGATGAAAACTATGTGCCATTCTTGCAGCTGTCTACCTGTTGAAGAAATGACGCAAATACCAAGATGAGGATCAAAATATGAATGCCAATATATTTCCAACAGTTTGCTAGCTAGAAGAGTGGTTGGGAGAGAATAGTAGTAAGGACAAATAATTAAATTGGTATGCACCTTAAGGCCCCATTTGGAACACAGGTTTTTTTACCTGTTCCTGCGTGTTTCCTGAAAAAAATAAACTCAATCCTGCATTCCAAAAGGGCCTTAAGTATTTTTCAGTTTATTCGTGCACTTATGCGAGATTGATCGTTGGACTATAAATTTGTATGCAGCATTAATACTTTCATTTTTATGCGCATAAGCACCTCTATTTTATTCAACCAATAACACAGTAAAGGCAATAGGAGAGTTTTATTTTTATTATTGTATCAGTGGCATAGCGGCAATAGGAGAGGATGCACACAGGTCAACATCACAGCACAGGACCAATAGCAGTATAGCACTGTAGAGGCAGCATTACAGCAGCAGCAGCATCACATGATACCAAAATAGTAGCTCTTGCATCCAAACAGCACATGACTAATTTAAGCCAGCTAACTATTAACCAACTAACAGTTAGCTCTAGCTATTAGGTGGCTGACACCTAGCCATAGCCGATAAGAATGACTAGTTATCCCCCGATAATGCCGAGGGATGCTAAAAAACTTGGCTCTAGAAAAGGACAATAAATAGCTGATGCTAAAAAGCTAAACTGTATTATCCCTCGACCAACATAAACACAGCATCACCAACCACAGCGACGATAATTGGCCTCACTGGAACAGAACAAATCAGTAAACTAACCTAAAGCACCAGCACGCTGAACAAGTTATATTATGAACAGAACAGCATGTTTTGGCACTGCTACTTCACTCGAGATCGAGCCATCTCGAATTCTGATATGGTCTACTGAGAAACCTACCCTCGAAGAAATCTGGGTGCTAATACACTACTGGTGTACATCCACAACAACTCCAGGTGCTGGCAGCAGAGTCTTCAGTCTTCTACTGTTCTGCTGCAGCCAAGAAATGGGCGTGTGATCCTGTCAGGACTGGGGTTACCACTTCAAACTCATGATCCTGGACCTGCAGTCTCCATGACGACCGAGTCCACCAATTTTTATCTGAACAGTGGGGTCTTGATTGCACGGTGTCATCAGCCTTGTGGCAGGCAAACATGTGCATATATATAGACATTCCTCGGATGACAGCATCTGCTCAGACTATTTGGCAGCATACCAGCTCTTTGCACACTTGGCGTCAACAGCCAGGTCGACTTTCAAAATGTTGGTTCCGTAGAAAGGTTTGGACATACACTCCACCACTATAGCCTTGGCCACCTCAGCAGATTCTGAAGGCCCTTCCAGTATCACTTCATCATGCACCTGACATGCAAACATTGCAACCAATGTTATCCCAACGATGTTATCGAATAGTTATCTGTCAGCTTCACTCGGTTTACATCAAAGGAAACGCAAATAGTGGCTTGCCCATCTTTTAAGATGTAATAAAGTTGTGAGCCAGAATGCATTGTATTATAAATATATATATAAAAAAGAAGACGAACCTGCAACAAGAGCCTCCAACCAAGCTCCTTAAGGCGGACATTCCTTTCGATTTCAAGCATGGCACACATAGCAACATCTGCTGCACTTCCCTGATGATCAGAGATACCAAGTTGAAGGTCAAGTTTTAGAAGCAATGAAGCATAACCATTGAGCCACAATCAGTAATAAGTACCTGCACTGGTGCATTTATAGCAGCACGCTCAATATGACCTCGTTGACCAGGACCAAACTGAGTCAAGTTAGGAAAATGGCGTGACCGCCCAAGCAAAGTGTAGACTTCGAATTGCTCGCGTGCAAGCTTCTTCTGACTTTTTTGCCAAGCTAACACTTCTTTTCTATCTCCATACCAGAGTTTCAATGTATCCCTTGCCTCCTTAACAGAAACCTGGGCCACAACTCTGGAGCTTGTTATGACACTTTTTTAAAAGATCTTTTGTACTGTATAGAGCACAAAACATGAAGGGAAAGACATCTTGGATACACTGCATAACAACTGAATTGACAATAACCAGTACCTAACATGCCAGAAATTTAAATAGAGAGCTAATATGGTCATGTATCTCACAAATTGGCAAAAAAGAATAGAAAGAAATTAAGGGAGCAAAGCATCCTCGTTCCTTAGCAGCAGCACTCAGATCAAGTTATGAAAATTGCTGTAGCACGCATCTATTGTTGTTTTGCTGGGACAATTGTAATAAAACTATAAAAGAATCACTAAAGTCAGCTCCAAAAAGAAATGATCAATTCCTGCATACTTTGATCAGATTGCTGACCCAAAAATCCTAGTTTGAAATGCAGATCTAGGTTGGTACTTTGGTAGCAATAAGCTTCATACCTTCCAATCCCGGGATAGCCCAACAGCTGTCTTTCCATAAGCAATGGAAAAATTAAGCATTTTAGCTTTCCTCCTCTCAGCGCCAAAAGCATCCTAAAATGGAAAAACCAAATTTAATTCAACTCCGTAATTACCATTAGTATTTCTATTTCATATAATGTTTATGTGATTCTGTAAAAAACAATGCACATATATTTCCTTAATCACAAAATATAGTACTCCCTTCGACCCAAAATAACTGCACTTCTCGCTTTTCGAGGAGTCATCTTATTAAAAAAATGAGTAGATTAATAGAAACATTATCAACATTTGGTTCTTCTAATATGTTTATTCTGAAAATATATTTTACTATTAATCTGATGGTACTTATTACGCATCATAAATATTAGTATAGTTTTGTATAGATTTGGTCAAATTTTAAAAAGTTTAACTCCTTGAAAAGAGAGATGTGCAGTTATTTTGGGAAGAACAGAGTATAATATGAACATCAGGGCATGAAGCATTTAGAGAACTAAAAGTACACGCAGGAAAATTCTTGCTCAATAGCAATTGATGAAAAAGATGGGTGCATCTTATTTAAAATACAAACTATGCTCTTGTGTATGGAATGTACAACAGTACAAGGGTACCAGCCATTGCAGCAATTTAGTACTGTTATTTAAGGTTCAATACTGACGATGTGAGAGTTCAAAATATTTAGTGCAACAAATGTTATTCAACAACACACGGATGCAATACAATCATGGCATTCTTAGCTCAAGCCTTTGAGGAATGCCTAGTGTTAGTCAGCCTGGGCACATTAAGGCCCAAAACCGAACCGAACTGTCGGTTTCTCGGTTTCTCAGTTCGGTTTCGGTTTTGGATTCTGGGAACTTCGGTGTTCGGTTGCGAAGTCGGTTTTTGACTTGAACGGAACCGAACAACCGCGAAACTGAACTCGTAGCAATCTCCGTCTCCGCTTCCCCATTCTTCGATGGTCGATGCAGCCCACCAAGGCCCACCACGAACCGCTCTAGGCAGGCCTTGAGGCCTCTACCAGTCTCCCTCTCCCAGTCTCCCGTCCGACTCCCTCTGGCCCTCTCCATCTCCCATCCGACTCCCCATCCGAAACCTAAATCCAGGCGGCGGCGGCGTGACTGTGAGGCTTGAGGCGTTCTGGCGGAGCGTGGAGCAGCGGCAGGACCAGGCGAGGCGCGGCGGGCGAGGCGAGGCGCGGAGCGGAGGCATGCTCAGTGGCTGCACGTCGCGGCTGCTCCACGGCGCGACGGCAGTGGCGCGTCGCGGATGCAAGCAGGCGGTGGCGGGCTGACGGCGGTGCTGCACAAGTGGAAGGTGGCGACCGGCGGCGCATCTGCTGCTCCTGGTGAAGTTCCGCGCGTTGTGGATGGGAGGTAGGTTCGGTTTTCTCGGTTAAAACCAAAAAACCCAAGTAAAAAACCGAAACCGAAATGGTCAGTTTTGCATTCTCTGATTAACCGATCGGCTTTTCAATCTTGAAAAACGAACTTTTGAGGAACCGAATAGACCGAACCGAAGTGTCGCGTTTAAACCGAATGCCCAGGATGAAGTGTTAGGGTGTGTGGATCCATAGTGGCTGACTGAAATTCAAAAAAAAAAGTGCAATGGAATGGTCTATCCAATAAATATTCTGGAACGACACCACTCCACAAATGAAATAGCATTCAAAAGTTCACAAGTCCCAAAATCACAAGAATGATATACATGTATCTATGTATCATTTTAAAAAAATTAGTAGGAATTTGATTGAATGAACTACAAACTACTAGCACTAGGGGATTATAATTCCAACGTAAGTACAATATATGTATATAAGCAGTTAAAACAAATAAAAAATAACTAAGAAACGCCAAAGCTGTAAATAAAACTAGTAGCACTTGAAGTACCTTCAATAGAGGCACTGGAGGTTTCTCTTGACCAGGTTGAGGGTGCCACTCAAGAAGAACTTTCTTCTCATGGACAGCATCACGGATATGCTGGTACATATTCATGGCTGTCCTAGAATGGAAATCACCACCGGCCTTGAAAGCATCCAGCATGCTTTTACAATTAGTAAGGTGGGCTAAGATCCTAAGCTCCAGCTACATTAAAACATGCCTTTAATAAGAAATTAAGATGAAAGGTCATTCAAGGACAAAAATGTTGACTATTAAGCACTAGTTCGCACACCTGACCATAATCTGCAACAATAAGAGAATTCCCTGGAGCTGCAACAAAAGCTTGGCGAATCTTATACCTATCCTTCTCAAGGGCAGGTTGATTCTGGAAGGGACACGTATTGAGTTTGAATAAATGATATTGACCAAAAGAATAGGGTGGTACTTTAGCTGCAAGCACTATTTAACAGATCTAAACTGTATTGCAACTAGAGTTACTTTTGGAGTTAAATATATTATCCAGTGCGACTAGTGAATGCTGAAGCCTCAGGCTATAATCAGCAGACATTAATCATAACCACATCCATCTTGTATGATGATTTTGTGAAGCAGCAGCATTTACATACTAGTAAACAAAAGATGTGATATCATTGATTATTTTATTGAAAAATAAATTTGTAACTACACATGTTTGTCTTTCCCTCCTCTTCTTGTACAGTGATATATCATGCACTTAATAACAAGCCAGAGATGACGATTTAAGAAGCTCCATAGAAATCCCACATAAACACAAAAGAATGTGCATACCTGTAGATTTGGTGTTCTCGCTGACAAGCGCCCTGTCTCAGTATTGATATTTAATGAACAGTGAATGCGCCCCTCCGCACATGATATATGATCTCCCTACCATGGAGTTAGGGATTTATCAGATACACGGCACATGGAAATACTTCGTAGACAAATGCAGTTAGCTAAGCATAATCAGTATGCTGACAAAAGCCAGCAGAAACACCTAATAGCAATATCCTCAGTCACTCACATTGCATGCTTGAATGTGAGCATGAAGTAGCTAGCCACCTTTAAGGCTTTAAAGCCCTCAAAGATATCTCAAGGGGCACACTACAAATGGGGGAGGACTCAAATCACAAGAACTGAATGCAACAGTTACTTTGCTAAGAACAAAATTTTAAAACTATATAATCCTAATCAACAAAAACTCAAACTTGACTTGATGGTGCAGATAGACACTAAATTTAGCAACCTCATGCTTCCTCTCAACAAAAGCAGAAAGAAAAAGAGAAAAAATATAGCCTAAACAAATCAGCACGTTTGTTGATGCATCCTCACAGCACACAACACAAGAATTTTTGCGCTGTGAGCATACATAACATCAGCAAAATCCAATTTGCATTGCAGCAAATGTCAGGCATGCTGTCTCAAGGTAGGAACGATAACAAAATCGGCTAGCTAACCTGCAACGGAAGAATGAAATTGGATATCAATGAATCAATAGAACATATTTCACATAAAGCTGCAATTGCATGGCATGCTTCTTTTCCATTCTTTCCTCCACCGAACGCTTCATATGCTGTTCCATAAGAGGAATCTCCATCTGGGTTTTCTGAACCATTTGTATCTTCATCATCCTCTTGGATATCATCCATTGTGTAAATATATTCTGTAGGTATTTTACCAGCCAAACTTCTCAATGCATCCCCACTGGCTGATGGCCAGCCACTCGGGGTGAACATATCAGTTTTCAGATCTTCAACAATACTGCAAAGTTCGATAGTACGATACTTTGACGTCTTCTTACCCTCTGTAGTAACATTTTCTTCATTTAGCACTTTAAAAGTTTTACTCTGTGGCCAAGTTTCACCAGATCTGTGTCTGTTACAAAGGTAACAAAGTTTAACTCTTTTAGGAATTGTACGGAAACAATTTGAAAGAAAGCTTGAGTTTCCAGTTTCCTTGGATATATGCACAATCAAATTACTAGAAGATACCAAAAAAAAACCAAGAACATTCAATTCACTTCTGCCTAGGGTATTACATACACAAAATGCTAAGCAGGCACAAAAGGCAATGGAAAATTTAGTTTCCATTTCCCATTTTGGCTCTTGCTTATAAAAGATAAAAGTAAATTCTTATCAAGTTAGGGCTTTGGGTCATGTGTCCCATTGTGCATGACGCCATGACTTGCAGTCAAACTAATGTCTTCTACACCAAACCACTACCATAATTACTGGCGCCTTTCATAAAGATCCAAACATGAAGTGCACTGAGGAAGATACCACAGTGAAAAGGTATATGGAAACAGAAAAGGCTTTCAAACCTTAGTAAAGAAATCAGTGAAAGGCAATACCTATTTTCAATGCCACCAAAGAGAAGTTGGCGAATTTGAGTATCGCTATTCACATTCATGGACTTGGCATCAGGACAATATTTAGATGCCCATTTCCGAAACTTATCTGCAGCTAGTTCCCGTTCAGCAATAGCAGCCTTTTCTATCTCTGAAAGATAACCACGGTCAACAAGCATGCCCTCTGTTTCCATCTTCACAAGTAGGGCACCAAAGGGACGCCAATACTGTTCATAGAAATCGTACATGGTGCCCCTAGGACAACCATCCAAGACCCATCTCCTTGTTTCAAGCTTTTTTTTTAAGCTCTCATAAAGTCTCAATGTGTTCATTGAATCTAGAGAAGAATAACAAATCCATAACTCTCTGTCTTCCCTTTGTAACTCTTTGACTGGATCAATAGATACAACTTTCCCTTCAGATCCATCTTTTCTAACTTTTTTCCTGCCAAAGATGGTTTTCATTGATATCTTTCCAGATTTAGGTAAATCCTCTGGAACAGTATCCATGACTCTACGGTCATTTGTAAGTCCTTCAAGTGAATATCCACCATCAATTTTTCTTGATGAATCCCAAAGGCGTGCAAGATGCATTGTATCAGCATGAAACCCAGCAACTTTGATTCCATAATTCTCAATGACATGGTTATCAAAACTATAGTTATGCCAAACCTACATGATGAAGGGAACATGAATGTTGACTTCAGAAAATTCAAGAAAAACAAAGCTAAAAGTAGTTCACATGTGATTCATTTGGTATTAACCAGGTATGATTTTACCAATACAAAGATTGCAATTTTATCATGTTGATGATTTCATGAAACTGACAAGGATAAAATAGTGAAGTACATCCATTTGTTTCAAGTTTGTAAGAGTAAATAGAGCAGTAAGGAAAGAAGTGCAGAGTACAACTTCAACTAACATAGAAGGAGAAAAATAGCCATGAAACTGATTGACATAGGAAAATTATTGCACCTTCTTGATGGATGGATCTTCAAAGAAAGGAACAAACTCCATCAGGACACCCCTTCCACCATCTAGAACATCAACCCAAATGCAAGTTTTGCCATTTCCAAAATCAGCTGCCTGTACATCAGAATTTGCTGAATAGATGCTAAAGCATATTACTTCTCCATGACCAACTGGTGTCTCTTCTTTGGCATCAATATTTGCTACCTGCAGAAACATTATACTCAAATAACTACAGTGGAGTTCACTTTTGAGCATTGCTTGCCATCGTAGAAGCAGACATTGAGCATATTAGCTCATGAAACTTGTGAAGCTGATACAGACTATAACCTTCAGCATTGCTCATGATAGCTGACTTCAACTCATGCATTGCCTATGGCATGTTTTGATACATTAATGAGGAAAATATAACAAACACACGGGTCAGCAAACAGAGTCCCAGGATTTACAATCTATCACCATCAGAAGTTTCTTGTGACAACTATCGAATTGGAACGAACACTGAAGTAATTCATGACAGATGACAACTCAAAGTAAAAAGATATCACTCAGCTAAACCTAATACTTACAAAAAAAAAGGAACATTTTGTGTCTTTGTGAAACAAATGGTTTGCCTAGATGAATAAGGATGGACAACCTGACCACTCTATAGGAGCAAATAAATCAAGCAGGGTTCCTTTTTACCTCTGTATCACATGCATGAATAAAGCTCTTGTACTTTGTAGTGAGCAGTTTAACAATGCTCCTAGCTGACTCGATATTGTCAACTACCAAAACTTTGTCGTAGATGCTAGCAAGTGCCTTCCGTGCTTTCAAAGATTCCTCACAGAAGGCTGCTTTAGTTGGCAAAGGTGAAACCATCTTTTTTACTACAAGTTTCTTCTCCTTTTTGTCATCACCATCATGAACTTTATCATCAAGCTCCAAAATTACCTCTGTATTAGATTCATCAAGCAAAGGATCCTCTGCTGGTGAATATTCACGCCAAGGAATCTCCACCTTAGAGGCTCTAGGCATGCTCAAACACTTGGCACTATTATTAACAACACTTATTGGAGCTGGCACTGATTGCACAGGCTGATTTATCATACTATGCCCCACCAGTTCTTGACTATTACCATGTCTATTTACAATTGAATTGGATGATACACGTTCTCTAAGATTATGCAAGTAAGTGTAGTTCAAACCCCTGCGATCTTCAGAGAGTTCATTTTGCACATTCCCAGCCCGTAAAGGAGTGCTTCCCTTATAGATGTTATTTGTGACATTGTTGGCAGTTTTGAGATAGAACAGCCTCCGGCTCTCTTGAACCCATTCTTGTGCAATATTTCGCATGTTTAAGTTCGGATAGAACCGAAGCTTGAAACCACTGCTTCCTTGAACTGCCATATCTGAGCTATGAGAATAGTCCTGCCTGTCAGTCAAAACGATTACCAAAGTTAGAAAGCAGCAAGCAACATGAAATTCTTAAGTCATTGAAAAATGTCTAAAGGGGAACATTTCAGAGAGAGTGAATAAATTGCAAGGTACAATGACAAGGTTAAGTGTACTACTATTAGGTGGCAGCGCACAGACAGGTCAGAACAGAACAATCATGGAACAATAGGATGTGACACCGTGTTCCCTTGCCTAACACAGCAACCGCTGCATCCTGTGATTAGTTCGTTGGCAGAGCCAAGACATGGGGTTATTTAGCTGGAAATGAAAGAACAGAGCTCCCGAGACAGTCTAAATCACAGCGGTAGACGCAAATCCACCTAATGACTCTGCGCCTAGAACAGCACAAGCATAAGCATCATTCCCGACCCGACACAGGCACACAGCTAAGCACCGCCTAGAGAACGCCCACTTCACATAGTCCGAAGACCGAAGGGGACATTTCAACGACCTCCAAAGGCCACGACGAACATCGAATGACTCTAACACGAAATAAGAGTGATTCGGCGCCACGGCGACAACCTCCTGCATCCGGAAATCGCCGGCGGCGGCGAGGCGCGGCGGACGCGGCGGTGCAGGAAGAAGGGCGACGACGACGACAGCCACGGGGGCGCCGAGCCGTGGCGCCGCAGCAGCGGCGCCGGCGTCACCTGCGCCACCACCATCGACGCCACGGACCGCCTCAGGTTGGTCCTCCCCGCAGCGCCGCCGCCGCCGCCGGTCAAGCAGAAACCGAGGCCGCAGCGGGGCGCAGGCGCGAGCGCGGTCGCGCGGCGCGGGCGGGCGGGCGAGCAGGTGGTGGGGAAGCTCGTCCGCGGCGCGGCCTAGCGGGGGGAGGCCGGCGAGAGCATTAGGGAGTCGGCGAGATGCGGGGAGCCGCCTATTGTGGAGGGCCTGGGGAGTGCAGGCGGTGGCGGGGGCGGAGGAGGGGAGGTGAGCGGGGTTTGGGGACGAGGAGGAAAGTGGGGAACGAGGGTTTAAGCGGCTGCTGCCTGCTGACCAGCGAAGCGGCGAAATCCGTCTCCGTGGTTGGACGGGGAATCCGCATCATCCAGTGTGGAGGCGTACTTTGGCTGTAGCGCGAATGATCGGTCATCTGGAGACGTATTCACGTGTGGTCAGCATCTAGGGTCAGTCAGTCGGGAGCAAAAATCTTCTTCTACTCAGCTCTCACTCTATCTATACAAGCTTGATTATTACAAAATAAAGTGTTATGTGTAACTCTTTGGAAAATAAAGTCATCTTTGATAGGATTTTTGTTAGGAATTAAACAAAAGCTCAGCTAATCGCGCACATATGAAAACGGCTTCTTAAGTTAAAACCAAACTAAAAGCGACAAGGGGACCGCGGACCGAACTGCAGCTCATTTTCTCCCGGAGTGGAAGTCAAAAGTCCTGAAACCTGCTCGAAAATAATCTTTGGCTTCATGACACAGAAAGTAAAATGGTAGGAGCAATAGCTTTGATAGACGTGTGGCTAAAATGAAGAGTAATATATGTTTGAGTATGCATTACGCTTATAAGGGGTGTAAGTGTGTTGTCTGTGGTAGGAGGCCCATTGTGAGACCCCAAACCTAAAATGGTACACTAGAAGTCCAACATAATACCTAAAAACTAAAAAGCGACAAAGCTAAAGTCATTTTTGTCTTCAAAGCTGAAACCACTAAAAAGTGGCTTCTTTTGACTTCATACACAAAAAGTAAAATGGTAGCAATAGCTTTGATAGACACAGGCTAAAATCAAGAGTAATATAACCTAGATGCATCACGCCTATAAAACTATGAAGTAAGGTTGTCTCCAACGAAAGACCCATTAGGAGACGGTTGTTGAAAATGGTTCTCCAATATAATCATATTTGGGTAGCCTCTATATGGAAGATCCATTTTTTGCCAAATGATGGATAACCCAAATCATCATATGTGTTCTTTAATCAATTGTGTAAAGGATTTTCTTTTGGGTCTTGTTGTTGGAGAAGACCAAAAATAGGTATTGAACTCTTTACCTGTATCGCTATCCAAACGTGAAATGAGTCTTGTATTTTGGGTAACGGTTGTTGAAGACAGTGTAATATAATCGTTTTGGGTGCCTCCTCTCACCAAATGATGGATTTGACACCATACGTGTTCTTTAATCTAATTTAGTATCATAGAAGGACCAGAATGTTAGTACTGAAGGCCTTAGGGTACGTGCAACAGAAATCGTGTCTTGTGCCCAACTATAATTCTTCTATTCTCATCATCATTCTAAAATGTATGTCATTAGAGTTTTTATCTAAGAAAACTATTCTAATTCTGATGAAGTTCGTAGAATAATATACTTATATTATATAAATAAACGCCCGTGAGATGTATGGAGCTAATTGGGTCCAAAGAACACGCATGTATAGTCGGTGCTTATCTAGGCATTCCATCTTATCATCTTATAGGGTACCTATATGCCGGTCTTGCAGGTTCGAAATGGGCGAGGTGTACATGAATTTAACAATGTATTCTACTTCAAATATATATAAACCATATCATTCGCAGCTTAACAACAACCGGATCCGTGGCGCAATGGTAGCGCGTCTGACTCCAGATCAGAAGGTTGCGTGTTCGATTCACGTCGGGTTCAAACCCCCGATCCAAGTCCGGATTCTTTTTTATTATTTAGTCTGGAATCTTTTTTTCTACTTTTTTTTTAGGGTTCTATACCATTCATTTGCTACTTACGTTTGAACCTCTTTTTTTTTTCCTTTTTTCCCCAGCTTCTACGATTCTACAATTCCCATGCAGGTCCGGATTTTTTTTGAAGGGCTTTAAAATTCCTTCGTCACTTACGTTTGATCCCTTTGTTTTCTTTTTCTTTTTTTTTTTTCAGGTTCTACGATGCCTTTCTTCGTCTTATAAGTTTTCAGTTTTTTCCCTTTTTTTTTCCTGTGTCACTTTGGTCTTTTCTTTATTATAAGATTCTACAGTTCCTTCCTCACTTACGTTTTCAAATCTTTCTTTTCCAGGTTCTATATACAATTCCTTCGTCACTTACGTTTTCAAAAAATAAAACCTTTTTTCATGCTCTACAATTCCTTTGTCACTTTGGTCCATTTTCCTTTTTTCAGGTTCTATAATTCCTTCCCTACTTTTTTTAGATAAATAGATGATTTCTGGCTTTGGACCTCTTCAACAAAAAGGTATCAGTCCAACAAAAATACAATTTAAGTAGAAAAAAGTGTTCAACTTTATTGACCAATAAAAAATCTTTGGACTCTGATTTCTAAAAATTGACATCCAAAATTAACCAATCTTAAATTTATTAGTGCATTGTAAAAGGTATCAGTCCGTTGGTCTCACAGGATCACAAAAATACAATTTGGAAGTAGAAAAAAGTGCACCAACTTTATTGACACACAATAAAAATCTTACGTGTGATGGCAAAAGCTCTCTTTCTTGAGTTGCCATACATGTCTATTTATATCCACGAGAAGAAGAAGGAAAACCTCTATTGCTCTGATTTCTAAAAATTGACATGCCAAAATTAACCAATCCTTAAATTTATTAGTGCATTGTAACATAGCCTAGAAACAAAGTCAGTGTGTCCCTAAACAGTACCTGCAATTTTTTTTGTTTGGCCATTGTTGAACACAAAATCATATCTATTAAGCCAAATTGCCCAGCAAATTGCTGCAGCTCCTGTTAATAACAAAGATATAAGATTCTAACTCAATTACTTAGACCAAGAATTAACCATATGATTTATATTATATGAAGGTTTGATGCTTAATAAAAGTGTACAACCCGCCACAAGGTTTTGTCATAATGCCACTCGAAGAAAAGGTGTTTAGATAGTTTCTAACTTACTGCAAGTCTACAAAAGCAACACAATTTACTACCCTTCTATTTCTTCTAGCTAAATTATCCTTTATAAGAATGACCCTGTTTCAAAGTACCGCATAAATATTTTTACTTTGAGAGGTAATTTGAAATGCCAAATTCTTTATGTGACCTTAACTCCATTATTGACGAGATAAATATACATAGATTTGACCTTGAAAACGCCATCTTTGTCAAAACTCAACACAAAGAAGTTCAAACCCTCATTTAGATTAATAAAAGCCACACTAACAACAATATTGTACCAAGTCAGCATATTGCACACTAAAGATATCTTGGAGGAGACATTAAGAGGACTAGAACTAAGCACTCTCACTACTGTTGCATATTTTCGACGAATAATATTAAACAGCGAAGGGTATTGAAATTTCAAGGTCCGTAACCAATTGTCTTACCCAAAACCTAATCTGGTGTCCACTCCTCAAATTGAAATGCCTAGGAATTGGTCCTTCACACCCATGAGACTCGGACAAAAAATGTGAGTCTTCGACTTTCTTGCTAACTGTAAAGTATTATTTCTGAGATATTTGTTTCGGAGTAAAATTTGCTGCATGTCGTCCTCATTGCACATCTTAAATAACCATTTACTTAGAAGGCATTTGTTTTATATGTAAAAGTTCTAAGTTACCATCCCCTTTGTTCTTTTAGATGATAATATATAGAATGTCCCATTTTACTAAAGGATAATTCTTTTTGTGTTGATGGTTTTACCAGAAAAATCTTAATCTGTAGTAACCTATTTTCTTAAGAGCTCATGAGAAATCTCATAGAAAAAGAGCATGAACAAATTAGAACCTACCTACCTCCGGCTGACAGGATTTTTCCTTTCCAACTACCTTAACTTCTTCTCTACTTACGTTTTCAAATCTCTCTCTTCTTCTTTTCCAAGTTCAGAGTCTACATCGATCGTGACTTTGATCCATCGATTGTGATCACGTTTCAAATTAACTTTTCCCCATCCACCAGCTCCAGAATCTCCACCGCCCCCAACGCAAGAAGAGGTTTTTACGTGTACCATTAAAAAAGTTTATAATTACACACAGGCTATTTAAAAAAGTTGACCGTACACACATGCCACCGTTATGAACTTTTTTGCTCTCCAAATCATTCCATCCGCATTCCGTTCATTTTTCACTGTTTGGGAGTCCTGACAAGTGGATCAGGTCAGTCAAAAAGTCCATAATACCCATCTCATCCCTATCTTCTCTCTCTCAAACTCGACCTCATCTCTCTTCTTGGCTTGCCCAGCAGCTGAGCCTTGGCCAGCTTGGCCGGTCGGGTCGGGCTTGTCGAGGCTCGCCAAGGGCAGAGGGGAGCTGCATGAGCACGCCGCGCCAGGTGGTCGGGGCCAGGCTACCTTGGCGCTTGGCTTGGAGCTCGAGCTCCCACGCCGCGCCATGGGCACCGGCTCACCTCTCTCGCGTCACCTCCACGCTGCTGGGCAGATCCACTGGCGAGGGCCCGGTGTGGCGGCTCCCGCGCCTCCTCGGCTCTCGCCCTTGTTGGGGGATGGCCGCCGCCTCACACACCGGGGCCTCGCCGTCGTCGCCGTCGGGGCTCGTGTTGGTGTCTTGTGGGAGCTCCGCCTCTTGCTGCTGCAGCTCCCCTTGCTCACCCTGTCCATCCTCGCTATCTCTCCTTCTTCTTGGCATGGCGGCATGGCGCTTTGCACCTCGCTTGGGCGCGGAGGCGCTGCTGGCAGGCGGCCACCTGGCAGCATGAGCACGACGAGCTCCACCACCGCGAAGGGTAAGCAGTAGCACACCGCCTGCGCGCAACGACGAGCAGGAGCACGGGGAGCGCGGAATGGAGGCGCAAGAGAAAGAGAGAGAAAAAAAGAGTTTGGGTGGCTGACAAACGGACCCCACCATGGGTAAAATGATCATTTCACCTGTCGATTTGACACCGTTAACTAGAAAAACGGACGGAATGGTCTGGTGAACAAAGATGTTTAGAACGATGATATATATGTACGGTCAATTATTTTAATAATATATGTATAATTACAAATATTTTTAATGATAAACTTGTAAAAGCCTGACGCAAGAATTGATTCCAAAAGCCTTCGTCCTGCTGCCTAATTAATGCAGTCCCGTCGTGCTCACACTCATCTTCCTCCTTAAATTTCCACACCAAAATTCTCGGGGCGCAGAAAAACAAGCCAAAGATCAGAAGAGAGCGCGGAAGTCATGGCCATGGATCCAAGCGCCGCAGCGCAGGCGGAGGACGCGGCGCGCCGGATCGAGGAGGCGGAGGCCTTCTTCCGCGCCGCGCCGCCGCTCCGCGACCGCGACCGCCTCGCCGCCAGCCTCGCCGATTTCGTCGCCCGCCACGCCGCCGGCAAGTGATCCCCGATCCCGCGCTTCTCTCCCTCCCTGCCCTCATCTCTGTCCGGCTCCGGGTTGGGTGGCTGAAAGGGTAATCAGATTTCTGACGCGCTGCTCCTGTCACCCTCGATTGCGTGCTGCAGGGAGCCGCGGAGTGGTGTGCATCACCTCCGGCGGCACTACGGTGCCCCTGGAGCAGCGGTGCGTGCGCTTCATCGACAATTTTAGCTCCGGCCAGCGCGGTGCCGCCTCCACCGAGTACGCAGACAAATCACGCACTCATCTGCTTTTTACTGCTCTGCTTGCTCATGCTGTTATGGAGCTGGTCCGTTCATCTTTTGGTTCAATGGAGATCGGTTCAATGCAGGTATTTTCTCAAGGCCGGCTACCCTGTCATCTTCATCCATCGCCGGTGAGTCCTCCGAACTAGACAATTTTTGTTCAGTATAGTTGGGGTGGAACTGAACTAGCTGCATGCTCAAAATTTTAACTGAAATTGCCGGTATAGTTCTGTTTGGTGTAGCTAGGCTCGGCTTGTGAAGCCCTCAGAGCCAAATGTCACAGGATGTTCGGTGTAGTTAGGTGCAAGTTGTTTTTGTTCAGTTCTGAATGCCCAAATAAGACAAGTTGTGAGTGACACCTACCTCTTTGCAGTGGGAGCAAGCAGCCTTACTGTAGGTTTCTTCCAGAGGATTCCTTTCTCGATCTTTTTGAGCTTGGTGAAGACTCGGAGATCCAAGGTTTGGACTGTAATCCTGAATTATGCATGTCATGCAAACTGACCCAAAATCTGTCTGGTCTGGCGGCTCCTTGTATGGTTTTATGTTACCTGCCTTCTTAGTTTATCTCCTCGCCTTGAATGTTCAATCTTCACACCTCATTCCTTTACAGTAATTACAAGTAATGTTCAAATCACTATATGCATTCTTCTTTTGAAACACCTGTTTGTATCCTTGTTATGCATCTCAGTTCCACAGTCTCATTCCTCGGTGGTCAAGGCAGCAATTAGCAATTACCGGAAGGTATATATATGTGCCTCTTGTATGTCGTCTTTCTCTTGTGAAGCATTAGCTGCAACCAGATTGATATGGTACCATGGCTGTCTTGTATTCACTATCACAGGCAATCGATGAAGGCCTTCTTCTCAAACTCCCTTTCACAACGATTTTTGAGTACCTTCAGGTATTGCACCCTTGTTTCCTACCGGCATATATTGTTGCCCATAGTGTCAGTGTCACATGTCTAACATTACTGTCCATATTACATTTTTTACCCTGCTGTTTAGGTCACAGAATATTATGTATATGTTATTTGATATTGTTTAAAATTTAAGCGTAGTTTGGCAGCATAACCTTTTGGCAGGTTACTTTGATGGCAAGACCAGGCCAGCCATTAGCAATTATCACAAACTGACAAACATTCTCATATGTCATTCATTTACTATTATACATATAATATTTTAGATACTAAAAGGTTCATTGTGGTGCATGATAGCTTAACCTGGTGAAAGATGTTAGAGCTATACATAAAGTAGAATCTGATATGCCTATTTTTTCCTGTTGCTGACAGTTACTACAAATGGTAGCTACTTCTATGAATTGCTTGGGGCACCGTGGAATGTTTTATCTTGCTGCTGCAGTTTCTGACTTCTATGTTCCATGGGAAAGTATGGTAGGTTCTATCTTCAGTTAATTGTCTTCATATGTTTGTCATATTTGACCAAACCAAGCAACTGCATACTTAAGCAGTTATTATTGCATACCGGATCATCATTTTGTCAGTATAGTCATTGCGCATTGTAGTTAGTAATCCATGATTGTTTTATTTGGCTTCCTCATCAGTAGAAGGAATATCAGTCACTTGATTCATGGAAACAGCTTTTTTATGTAGAGGAAGCTATTTGAAAGCAGCTGTTGAAATTCAGAAATGGTGATATTTCTTAGTTATGTAGTTTTTTTATAACTATTAGTTATGTAGTTAATGCTATGCACCGTTGACCTTCAAAAAAAAAGGAGTTCATGTATGCTGTGATGTTACTTGATCCTTCTAAAATAGATCGTGTCCCTCCTATGTGCCTCATGTTAAGCTTGTGTCTAACAAGGAAAACATGAAATCCAGCAACGATAAGGGTAATATGTTTTCTTCTGGTAACAGAATTCCTACAGATTCCTTCTTTTTCCCAGACACTTCTGAAAGCCACATCCTGCACACTAGTAGCTACAAGCATAGGGCACGCTATATATGGTGGTGGTGCTGTGTGTGTATTGTTTTTAGTGGTTATGGAGAGCCGCCTGATGAACTTCAATTAAACATCCATAATGTTCTGCTACCGTTCCGCATTCCTCCCTGACAAATGTTTTTGCAGGCTAAACATAAAATTCAGTCAGCAGGTGGCCCTTTGAACATGCAACTCAATCAAGCCCCTAAGATGCTTTTCATCCTCCGGAAAAAATGGGCTCCTTCTGCATTTTGTGTATCCTTCAAGGTTAGCTCTATAACTTATCCCTTCTCTTTTCTCTAATTCTTAAGTAAAATATGTGTTGCCTTTCCTGTCTAAATCTGAGTTAGCAATCATTCATAATGCCTGGACACTGCAGCTCGAAACAGATCCTAATATTCTCCTACAGAAGGCAGAAATGGCTTTGAAAAAGTACGGTATGAATGTCGTGGTGGCAAATGAACTCGCAAACTACAAAGATGTTGTAGTGATGGTCACAAGCAGCGGGAGGACGACCGTGAGCAGGAGCAGCAAGGAGGAAGACCTGGAAGTGCAGCTAACCGACCTTCTGGTGAAGATGCACTCGGAGCACATTGCACAGCCCAATTCGTAGGACCGTCAGGCGAGCGAGATGGTTAAATCAGACATGGTGGCGGTAAGTATGGGCGATTCTACTACTTTCCTAGCAAATTGAGATATACAGAGTTCACCTGGTTCGTCACAAGATGCTCATCAATGTGCTGCAGCAGATTAATACCAAGATTATAACCCACACCAATACCTGTAAGTTTTTGGACATAACCTAGCTAAAGCAGGTGATGTGATGCCGCTGTTCATGTGGCGAAGCCACCAGCCTAGCTATCGAGCTTTTTAATAAACTTTCTGCTATCAAGCCGAACTTTTATGGTAGAATAGCCGATTCGATCATTCTCGACGCGAGTGTCCAGGGCCTGTAAGATTTTTTTTTTTGAATAAATCCCACGGTGGGAATCACTGAGCCGAGCAGGGCTCGAACCCAGGACCGGTGGCCTCCACACCGAGAGAGCTCACCATCCGAGCTGAGGCTCGCTCCGCTCAGTTCTGTTCCTGGACCTATGTGGCGTGCGTTGTCAAAGATGAGTGCTGTAAAGCGAGTCAATAGACATAATTGGACTCTTTTGCCCCTGTTCCTTCCTTGCAATCAATGTATCAAGAAAAATCAATGTATCTTAAAGAGATGCATGGTTCAATGGTCAAGGCCAATGCACAGATACGTAAACAACACCATCAGGTTTTTATTGATAGACACAAGACCCTTACAAACAGTTTTGGCTTTGAATTTTGTGTCGGTCTATCACTTGAGTTGATATGAATGCTCAACTTGGTCTTGGTAGCACGCGAGGAACCTTACATGCATTTTTGGCGAGGAAACTAGGTAGCATGCCAGCGCCCCTTCTATCAACCAAAATGCAGTTGACAACCATGCCCAAATCAAATGGTTATTTTTTTGGGACAGACACCGAACGAGCTTCTTCTTGGGAAAATATAAGGCACAAATCACTTCTCGGTGTAATCGCAAAATGAGGTGCCATGTAAGCAAATTCGATGGCATGTCACTAAAGTTACCAAGGTAGAGAAGAAATAAGTTTCGGCTGATGCTGTTTTGTTGTGAGAGAAAAACACTGTATCATGGCTGATAAGCATGACTGATACGATCAAACGAACAGGGTGTAGATGAGCGTATATCGGTTCCCAAGACTTAGTATTGGTTGGGGGAGTCCTCACGACAATTGGTGCAGGTAGCTATGGATTTTTTTTTCTCAGGCACATGGTCGTATACTCTATGGATTGACAACCACTAGAGTATTTGTGATCTATTTTGTTTTATTGGTTGTATGCTTCTTATATTAGACAGAGACCGGAAGTGTCCTCGAGTCTATGTATGAACTCGATGTATTGTCTTTGGAGTAAAAAGTCTTCCATTATATTATAAAGAAAAAAGTTAAATACATGAGTATTCGTTTCCCAAGAACCAGAGATTAATCCATATTTCTTCGATGAGTAGACTTGACCACAATGCGCTGTTGACTTATCAACAAGTTGGTGGATCACCGTATATTAATGGGAAGGAATTAGGAAACAGATACCCTATGGCGAGTTGTTCATGGCAGTATGCAGTGTACGCAATAATGCAGTGGAAGTTGCTGGGTGACTTTGAACAAGTCAAGCTTTTACGTACAAGAGCTAAGAGTAACTGCACTTTATATTGCATAGATCTAGAGGAAATTAACAAAATAGGTTACCCAACTACTGACAGCAAGATACATGTTCTTAATCTGAAAACAGGCTATATATATACGTGAAGCGGATTCAGACTCCTCGGCTCCTCCCACGACACCGGCCGTAGTAGCACTCGTTATTCCACATAGCCCACAGATGAGCACAAATGGCTACTGCTGCTTGCGTCAGTGTTACCACGGGAGTGATGAAGCCCCTCTTACCCAAGCTTTCCGAGCTCCCGGAAGACGACAATGTTGGTAAGACTACTACTGCAAATCAAGTCTATCATCATGCCATTACACGCCAGTTTCCAAGAGTGAAGCTTTCTGTGTCAGTTTCTCGAAGTCCTAACATGATGGAGATTCTAAGAGACATTGCTCGAGTGGGAATCACTGATACAGCAGAAGACGATGAGAAGCAACTCGTTAGTAAACTCCAAGAGCACCTCCAGAATAAAAGGTAACCCCAGTCATCCACTCCCCCCGTATCTGAATAAATCAATTCTTAGAGTTACAACACTCATTAGTAAATATAAAAAATTTGACATAAAATGAGTTAGGAAGTAATTTTTAGGGAAAGGAGTATGATAATAATGTTGCGATGCCATTTCTTCTTCTTCTTGTTTCTCTACGAATGAGGGGTTCTATATTTCACTACTATCAAAAGAATTTATAGAGACACATCTTTTTTAGGGCGGCTCAATCTAAAACCGTCCTAAAAATGGTTCCCAAAACGAGCCATCTCTAAAAATACATTTATAGGGACGGTTGGTATTTTCAGCCATTCTATGAATGATCCTATTTGTGGGGACGGCTCTAGATGCAACTGTCCCTACAAATAGATTTGTAGAAGCAACTGGATCTAAAACCGCCTCTAAGAATGGGCGCTTACCAGTAAAATTACGTATTAAAATTTGAATTTTTTAAACAACCTTGTACGAAGAAAACGACCAAAATGAAAGTTATAGATCTCGATAAGTTATATAACTCTGTAGTTGAATACCTTTTCATTTGAAATCATCTATCCAAGAAAAATTATATTTGAATTTCTCACATTTGAAATTCGAATTTTTCAAGTGACTTCAGATGGAGAAACGACCAAAATAAAAGTTGTAGATCTCAAGAAGTTATACAACTTTATAGTTAATAACTTTTTCATTTGAAATCATCTATCCAAGAAAAGCTACATTTGAATTTCTCACATTTGAAATTCAAAATTTTCAAACGACCTCCATGGAGAAGCGTCCAAAATGATAGTTGTAAATCTCAAAATGTTATACAACTTTATAGTTGACAACCCTTTCATTTGAAATCATCTATCAAAGAGAAATTACGTTTGAATTTCTCACATTTAAAATTTAATTTCTTCAAATGACATCGGGTGGAGAAATTACCAAAATCAAAGTTGTACACCTTGAAAAGTTATGAAACTTTATAGTTGACAATTTTTTCATTTGAATTCGTTTATGATTCCAAATACTTATTGAAAATCGGATCAAGATAAAATGAGGAGGACAAATATATCCAAATAGACACAAGTGTCTTAGGGTGGTGTGGTTAGAGGAGGAACATGTGAGGTAGAGTTTGGGTTCGAACCCCCATGTCTGCGCAACACGTGTTCGTTGCACGACTTGCGGTTTCGGACGACGTGTGTGGCTGTCCAGTGAGGTCTTCCCAGATTTAAAAATATTTTTTTTTCTTTTTTAGGCTTAGATTTATAATTTCTAAAAGAATAATTTTTAGGGACGGGTTATTTTTCTGCCACCCCTGCAAATCCATTTTAAGGCGGCTAGCCCTACAAACTCCCTTGGTGGTAGTGTTTTTTTAATACATCATGCATGCAAGCATGCACACCTCCTTCTAAGAAGGGCTATTTTTTCTCCCTCCTAAATTTAAGGTAGTGTTTTTAATACATCATGCATGCAAGCATGCACACCTCCTTCTAATACGGGCTATTTCTTCTCCCTCCTAAATTCAACGGCTTAGATTAATCAGAGTTAGAGCAATTCCTCCAAAGGTCTATTTATATCATTCCTAATAGATAGCAATCGAGATTTTGGTGAAAAATATATTTTTTGACCCCTACTAAATTCAAGGGCTTAGATTAATCAGAGTTAGAGCAACTCCTCCAAGAGTCTCTTTATATCGTTCCTAATAGATAACAATCGAGGTTTTGGTGAAAAAATATATTTTTTGATTGAAGTAAAGACTATGGAGCAGAGTACCCGGTATATTCATCTCTAGCTTGAAATTTGCTCCCACGAGGAGTCAAACTTATTACGACATGAGAAAACTAGAACCATCTAGACAACTCAGCTAGAGGCCCAGTTCGCTAGATCTCTAAATATTACGATCCTTTATTCTAGATTTTCTCGCTAGCCAAAGATGGAGAGCATAAGATATAGAAAAGTTGTTGAAGGGTGGAATGCTATCGAGAGCAATTTTATTCTCTTCAAATTGATGATTTAGAGAGTGAGTTAAAGAATTACTCCTGGAGATGCCTTTAGGGCTAGAGAAAAAGGCTATTTGAGCTGGCTTGGTGGCTCGTTTCAAAATTGCTTGGATTGAACTAATCCATGTGCTATGCTATATTGTCTATACATCAATAGAAAAGTATATATCTCAGCGTCTACCCATCAGCACGATCAAGCTACTATTATACTTAGTGAGCAAACAAAACCTCAACAACAATCATTAGCTTAGGAGGCAGATCATCACTGCTGCCACTGCTATCACCAACATCAGTGTTGACCATTACATCTTTTACTCTGGTCTACTAGTACTAGCTAAGCCCTGTAGCGAGCATCACCAATTAGGTAACTAATCTAGAGATATTACATCAAGCTACTAAACCTAAACAACTTTTGGTACTATGTCCAAAGAGAACAAAATAACCTGTCTACACATGTTGGTCATTGCATCTTTATTAAGCCCCCTGGGGCAATTAACGTATCCATTGAGGTGTTTAGTTTGCTAAGTTCATCACCAAGCACCCATGAGACTATAACCTTGGATACAAGTAAACATTAGTAACCAAAACCACATATATGGCCTTTAAACTAGCTAGCGCAATTGAGCTTACATTACCATATATATGGAATTCTTAAAAGTGGGTTGGTAAGAGCCTTTAGCGCCTTACACTAATGATCAATATTGAGTGCAACTTGACCTTGGATTTCTAACATTCTAAATCTAAACTAATTTTCCAGAAAAAGTCCAAATAATTCAGTCTTCAGTTTTTTGCTGTACTCCTAGCCCATGTTTTTCTTGAAATACTCTGAGCTCAGTTAGATGCTTAAACTATAAAAAAATAAAAGATTTTTAATTTAAGTGAACATATTTATTTTTTATATTTAAATATTTTGTAGTGGTAATTTTTATATTTCAGACCTCTTCTAACCCAACCAACAAACTCAACGTAAGAAGGCATAGGGCTTAAAATTTAAGCCACGTCTTTGCTCAGCCAACTATAAGATGATTTTGAGAAAAAACATCTTCTTAAAACAATAAATGGTATAATAGTATGGCAAGGTTTAAATATTTGCTAGCAATTGTTTTTTGCAAATAAATTAAAAGAGTGGTGAAACATTCTTAAATTCTACAATTATTTTCAATTTGGGGAAATATCCCTCTATTATTGCATTAATTTAATTGAAAAAAATTATACTTTACATCCCTCAATTTTGCAAGCAATATATTTAACCTCCTTACAAGGATGATCTAAGAACCTATAGAGATTCTGTCAGTAAATGGTTGAAATTTGATAATTACATGAACAAGAAGGCTCTTTATTGGCCTCTTATTAGCATTTCTTTAGCTAGCCACACTATAAACTTTGAAGCTCTCAGCACTAACTTCATCTTTGTTATAATTTTAGATACTTCGTTGCAATTCATGATTTATGGGACACAAAAGCATGGGAAACTATCATGCTGGCATTATTGAATAATGACTATGAGAACAGAATAATCACAACAACACGTAGTGTCGCAGTTGTGTCATGCTGTTCTTTTGAAGGTGGGTATGTTTACCACATGGAGGATCTTGATTCCACAGACTCAAAAAAGCTGATTTTCAGAAGAGTATTTTGTTCGGAGGGTTCACACTATCCCCATTTGGAATATGTTCCCGATGAGATATTAGGAAAATATGGAGGTTTACCGGTGGCAACCATCATTGTATCTAATGCTTTAGCTGATCAACACACAAAAGCTGAATGGGAGAGGGTACTACATGCCCTTGGTTCTGGACTTCCCATGCTAACTTTCTTGATGCCTTTAGCGACTCTTCATGTGTTGATCCTAGAAGCCTGGTACTTGAAAGATCACCACCTTGAAAATATTGAAAAGTTATTTTATCTTAAGTACTTGCATCTCAGATCATACTCAATAACTAATCTCCCAAGAAAAATTGGAGAGCTGCAGTACTTAGAAACACTGGACATACGTGGAACTGCTATTGTAGAATTGCCATCAACTATGGCAAAGCTTCAGAGACTAGCCCATCTATACGTCGACTGGAACATTACATTTCCAGATGGGATGATTGGGAAGATGCATAGCTTAGAAGAGCTAATGACATATGGAGTCAAATCCTGGGAACAAGGGAAGGCACTGCAAGATTTCAGTAAGCTAACCAAGCTGAGGAGATTAGCACTTAAATGGAGTTTTGATTGGCCAGAGGGCTTAGAAGGAATAAGTCAGGCTGAAAGCTTTTATAGTCGTGTGGGAACTTTATTAGCTTCATGCAGCCTTCACAGTCTGTATATTGTGGATGCCTCTTATGTGCATTACCCATTGTCATTGGATATGTGGCGTCCTACTGCTCCTTGTATCCTCCAAATCCTCCAGCTCAAACAATGCATGGTCTATGCAGTGCCCAATTGGGTGGCCTCTCTTGGAAATCTCAGGGTGCTGGAACTGAATACCTTCTTCATGAGATCAGAAGATGTTGAGATTCTTGGAGCAATATCCAGTTTACTGTTTCTCAAACTAGTCACTATTGGAGGAGCCAATGGAAAGATCATTGTCCATGGAAGCAACAGATTCAGAAGTTTGAAATATTTCTCTCTGTTCATTACTGGTGCTTGTGGGACCTCCCTGGAGTTTGAAGAAGGATCAATGCCAAAGGTTGAGCACCTCAAGCTTGAGTTTCCTGTGCACAACATGTCATGCATTAGTAGTGCTTTCAATTTGGGTATCCAGCACCTTTCTGCCCTCAGTAAGGTTGAAATCAAAATTGTTGGCGACTGTGACAATGACATTAACTACGTTCCAGTGGAAGTTCTGGATCATGGCATCGTCAATTGCATTGCATATGCCATTAAAAATGCTGTCGAGACACTTCCCAAGCACCCTACTATCAGATTTGAAACAGAGTACAATGATGGTTGTGAACATTTCAGATCTGTAAGTACTCTCTCTTTGCCAGCATTGATTATTTCAATATAACAGATCTTTCTTCCATACTTGGCTCCTGAATTGAATATATTTCCTTACATGTGACACTCTCTTGTTTGTTGTTTTGTTTTCACTTCTGTTCTAGGTTTTGAGGTGGATCAATCAAAAGTATGGGGTACTGACTGAGTGGTTCAAAGTGTGGGAAATTGAAGCAGAGATGACAGAGCAAGCAAGCAGCTGGAGAGATTTTATCTTTTGATGATTTGAAGGACATAACAAGAGAGGTGCTGGTACGTTATTCATTCCCATCCAAACAATATGCTGCCCTATGTAACTCCAGTTTCTCCACCACTCTCGTCCTCATTTTCATTTATTTAGTTGCTATTGCAAACAGGATGAGAGTAAGTGGGGAATAATGGCAGGAGCTAAAAAAAAACTAATAGGGTTGAAACCCCGGCCATATGAGATGGCTTAATGCTGTGCACACGGGATTCGAACCGTGGTTGCTCGCTCAACTCTAACACGAGCTAGCCAACCAGGCTTGAGCCCGCTTGCAATGGCAGGAGCTAAGTCATATCCCGAAGACAACAAGCCAAAAATAGAGATCTTTGCGAAACATGGGAGGCTATCTTTAAATAGGCTTATTGCTTAGATTGTTGCGTCTTTTTTTACATCTTGTAAGCTTGCGAGCTTATTTTTATAAGCAAGAGACTTGATTTGTAATAAATTTTGATTGAGTGCATAACTTATGCAGAGATTGATATAAAACTTTCTTTTTAAAAAAAAACTACATAATGCCATATGTCAAAGTGGCATGTTTTTTCTTTGTATTTTTGTAATGACTACCGGAGGCCCAAACAAGCCGGTGTAGGATTCGAGATTGTAACTACAGATTCGAGATTGTAATTAATGCCTTTTTTTTGATGAGTTACATGTATGGCTCTCTTTGTTTACCCTAAGCTATGATCATCAAATTCATTAGCGTGCAAGCGATCAGAACATGTATGCTTCATAGGAACTATCAAAAGTAGGCCACTGGCTCGCGCGCTCGCTCGCGAATCCCCGGTGGAGGTGAGAGAGGCCGTTCGAGGACTCCGTCCGGTCCGCCGCCCTCTCGCCCAATACCCTATTCTAGCGCCCGGATCCGCGTTCAGGTGGACCGTCGTCCCTTGGTGGATGTCCACATAATGATCGCGCGCGGCGCCGCCATCCCCGCCAGCTCCGATACCATGAAGGAAGGTATGCTCGGAAAAATAGTATATTGATTATGAGATGTACAAGGGGTGTACAATATATAGGCAAGGATGACTTGGGTTTTATAGGTCAATACCCAATGAGGTGGATCCTTGCCTAATACCAAATCAACTACCATATAAGCCCTGGGCACCTAGGCCCATGTGGCTGGCCCAATACCCTATTCTAACATGCCGCCACAGTTTGATCATCAGCCACTGCACACGTTCAGACTGGACCTGAACTCCGTGAAAATCGAAGAGGGAAGTCCCTTGGTGAAGATGTCCGCATAATGAGACGAAGTCGGGAAATCAAGGCCACGAAGATCACCAATCGCAACCCGCTCCCGGACGAAGTGAAGATCAATCTCGATGTGCTTAGTGCGCTGACGCTGAACCGGATTGGAGGACATGTAGACCGCGCTGATGTTGTCACAACAGTGGCGGACCCAGCCCGAGAATTGAGGTAGGATGAACTTAGACTATAAATTTCGGCTAAAAATGACAAAATGCATATTATGAAAGAAAGTTTTAGAACGACTAACAAGTAATGAAACCACAAATTCGCAATGGCTTGCATAATCACAATACTAAATTTCTTAGAGCATCTCTAACAAATTATGTATACTCTATGTTCCTAAATATGCATATAGAGGATCTCCTATTGCTGATAATGTGACCTTTTTTTTGTCACCTCCATCAAACTACCCAAAACACATCCCCTATATTTCTTTTTCTACTCTATTTTCCTCTTGCGCATATTCACTAATTTTAACTACAATTTCATGTCACAATAATTCAACTCTTTTTCATAAATAGACTGCACCTCTTGCGCATATACACTAATTTTAACTACAATTTCATGTCACAATAATTCAACTCTTTTTCATAAAATTTTCTTACAGGCTACATCGTTGTTATACAGGGTAGGATTTACTCATAGACAATTTGGACACAGCTTTTTGACTCACAGGCAATTCAACAAGCACCTAGAGAGCACCATGATACATCACATCACCAGCGAGCCACACAGAGCCAGAAGAATGGGGCATGGCCTGAACCTGGCGAAGCGGGACTAACAAAATAAAGTGTATATGGGACAGGTTCATAAACCTTTTGGCGTGTGACGCACATATTATTTGCTCTACAAAGGAACCTTTTTATAGTACCGAAGCCTCGGGTTTCGCCAGTAGTATTTCCTTTGCATGCATCAATTGTTCATATCATAGGCTGCTGCTGCCTGCTGGAGTCTTCGCCTCGGGTTGACTGAAAGGGCAAACTCAGATAGGTTTCAATCATCAATGATGGACTTGGTGCTAATAGAAATTGAAGCACATCTTAAATGCGCACCTTTGCCTGTGGTAATTACTGTTTTGCTTCTCTTGAAACGGCTGTTTGTTGTTTTGTTTAGATAATAGGCATAACACTGTGCAGCCGTCCACCATTACAAAGTCTGAAAAGTGTTGTATGACACACAGGAAAAAACTTCGGAACACTACCTTACATGATAAAAATTAAAAGAATGAAAATATCTATCTTCCCTGATTCTACAGTCTATTTTACACCTAATATAGTTTCTAGGATTATGTAATGCCAATGTCTCCATAACTACATTTTTTAGCTTAACCAGCTTGAGCTTGATTATTTCTCCAATGCTATGAGAAGAATAGTTCCAGTTTTGTGCAGAAACTCAAAAGAAGCTATGTGAAAGTTAATAGGATCCGCTGTTGTCTTAAAATTTCCATCTCAAGAGGTACTTCCTTTCATGGTCATAACTTAAAATGTAGATGAGTTCCTTAATTTCCTATTGTACGAATACTTAATAAGAGACTAGGGAGTAGGGAGTAGGGAGGCAGCGAGCACCGAAGTTGTCTCCTTTTTAATTTTTAGTACTTTTTTAAATCATAAATATGTCCTTGAAGGTATGATTTCAAAATTTTCTTAGCTTGGTGCGTTTCAACATATTCTATTTCCCAGATAGAACCTATCATATTCATTATGTATCAATGGCTTCTGAGACTAGTCTCTAACAAATTATGGCGTCTAGGACGTGACCGATGGCGCCGACATCCCCTTATTTCTTTTCTACTCTATTTTCCTCTTAGCATATTCACTAATTTTAACTACAATTTCATGGGCTTTTTTCATAAATAGACTGCACCTCTTGCATATACACTAATTTTAACTACAATGACTTGGCATGTAGTTCGACGCAATTTTCTTACAGGCTACACGTCGGCATTATCGAGGGCGATTTACTCATAGCAATTGGACAGCGTCGCACCTAGAGAGCACCAGATCCGGACACGGTCCTCCTCCTCCAGCACCCCAAGTTAGTCGCGGTGCTCTCGCGGGAGCAGCCAGCAGGCAGAGAGGAGGCAGGGAGGAACAACTCCAGGCGGCCGGCCGGCGGTTAGTTCGAGATCAACATGGCCACGAGGCGCCAGCGCGAGGCCGCCGCTCCTCCTCCTCTGCAGGCTGCGAACGCAGGTGCGTATATATACACAATAATCGTCCAATCGGGTTGGTCTGATTCTGATCTGCGACCGGGGAGGATCGCGAGCGGCTTATTTGTTTCTCTATTCCGCGCGATTTTCGAGTCCGTTCGTTGTTATGGTTTAATTAGGGTGCATTTGGAGTCGATAATCGATTTCGTAAATTCGCACTGCATGTCTGCATCCCTGCGGTGCGAAATGCCAAGATGCGAATGCCGTCCATGGATCAACTTCTCACTCCATATCTTTCCTGGGGATGAATACCATAGCTTCTGCCCGTCCTGCAGCAATGGAAGATGACAGTCTCAGCAGGATCATGCGTGACAGTTTCAGCAGGATCATGGGAATTTCCAAAGGTACTTTCGCAACTATCTCGCTGCTTTGTGTATTTTTGTTGGGTACTGAGATGTGTTCATTTGCACGGAAACCATATGTACCCCCTGTAGAACTTGAAGAACGTATTAATTGGCAACGGATGGGTAAACACGTTTTCTTTGATACAGAAAGGTCCATGGTCTTGCTGCATGTGCATGAACACATTTATAGAGAGCATGCATCGGTACTTTGGCTAGTCTTTCAAACTGTTAGTCTTTACTTTACCAAGTCAAGTCCATTCTTTAGCGGTTGTCAGGCAAGTATGTTTATATTTTGCTACATAGCATCCAAATTTAACTCTTTAACTGTACTCAATCTATCTTACATTGAGTTCCTTGTCTTTGTGATGAACAGGCTAGGTGCCGCGATTAACCAGCTTGACAGTGAGAGAGCTGAGAAAGAAGCTGGAGTCCAAAAGGTGATGGAGGAGCTTGAGAGTGAGAAAGCTCAGAAAGAAGTGGCTCGGAGAGGTAAGTGTATCCTCCACCACCTGTAATGCAAAACAGAAATGGGCCCGATAAGCTTAAATCAGAGGACTATTGCGATAAGCTTAAATCAGAGGACTATTGGGCATGACGCATGAATAGAGCTTGTTTTTATGGAATGTCTGCTAGACCTTATAACAGGTTTGCCGAAAAAAAGAAGACATAATTGATGAAGTTGAACACAACAATACTAGATGAAAATAACAGAGCAGCCAAATTGGCCCCATCTTGGAAACCAAAGCAGCCCCCGAGCTTGGATCACATGTGTATCTAGAAGACAGCGACAAGACGATGAGGACCGAACCGCTCATGACGCGCACAGGTTTCTGACTTTGTTTGACTAGCGTGGGCGCAGGATTGTCAAGATATAGAATCACAGACATCAGCCAGGTCCAATCGCGGCACACATGGCGTCAAATCACGCACCGGCACGGCACGGCAGTTTGCAGGCCGCGATGTGTCGTCCGGATCCAATCCAACCGCCAGTGCCTGTCTACCTGGAACTAGGGCGGCGAATTGACGAAAGCGGGTGGTGCGGCTGGACTTGTTCGCTCAGATCAGGTGAGCGAATGCGGGCTCAGATTCAGAACGAACGACCTCCACGGAGCCGGGGGCAGGAGCATATCAGATCAGACGACTCAAGAGGCAGCCCTGGGCGGGATGGGAATATGG